GCAGGCAGGCAGGCAGGCAGGCAGGCAGGCAGGCAGGCAGGCAAACAGGCAAGCAGGCAAGCAGGCAAGCAAGCAAGCAAGCAAACTAGAAGACTGAGTTGTCATGATGTGAAGACACAAATCCACCAATCTGGCTGTCGCAACAATCAGCATTGGTCACCATGGTATAAGTATCGCTATGTAGACACTGCATATTTAATAGCGCCATTATAGGAGGTGTTTAGTGCCTGTGCACTCATAGGCCTGTAGATGGCTATCAGGTGGAGGGTCCACCATCAGCCAAGTAGCTTCCAAAAGAAGAGCGCTCTTCAGCCCACGGCAGTGATTTTGTCTTTCACAGTGCATGAAAAATCGCCTCGCATGACTCCCAAGACATATCCCCCAGGTTCTGAGTCAGAAGAGTCGGTTTCCTGGACAAGATGTCCCACCCTGATCCCACATCGTGGGATTTGCAGAAGGACTTTGCATGATTTCACCTGCTTGAACTTCAGCTGCTGTCAGCTCAGCTTCGCAGCTTCGCACCACTTGGAACATCAAGACGATGTACCACTGGTGCTTGCTATGGCTGGGCATTTGTCTCACCCGCGTCGAGGGTGCCGAGCAGAAGATCTTCTGGGTGGACGACTTGATTGATCCGACCAAGGCCCTGACCCGAGCTCTTTTTAAATCGGGAAGAGCTTGTCAGACTTTAAGAGCATCCACAGTGGTTTTTTCATGGTGTTTACAGGTTTTTAGTTGTGTTTTTTGTGTTTTTCATCGGATAGAACTGGTCAAAATCGACCAACTTCCGCATCCCAGCGAAGCTTCTGCTGGTGCAACGGGTGGTTTTCCCTGTGCACGGGTGCAGCTTGTGACGTCACGTGACCAAACACGGGAGCCAAACACCTGGGATGGCGCACCGTCTCTGAAGGACAGCCTCCGGGCATGACATGAGCCTGACTGACAGCCTCCCCAGCACAGCATACCGCAGTCGGAGTCAGGATTCCAAGCAGTCGGTCAATTCACAGCATGGTATATACTGTATACATCTGCATACGGCCTTTTTGTTGTGGGATCCACCTGAATCAGGTCTCGTTCGATTTCGTCTCCTCCCCGAAACTCGGGAATTCCAACGATCGTCTCCGCTGAAGTTCCGTCTCCGCACTTCCTTTGGCTCGCCGAATCGCCCCAGTCGAATTCCTCGGGACCCCACGAAATCAGAGCGACCCACGCGACAATGGTCCGTGGGACCTGGCATATGATCATTGACCTGGGGGTGGTTGACCTCAAGGTCAATAGGTCAATATTCCAGTTGCATTGAGTGTTTGGGGTCTGGTATATCCCCAAAAAGGCCCCCGACCACGTACCGACGACTGCCATGTGTTTTGGCATCGCTGGGACTCGGGACCTGCACGGTTTCCCAAGAGCGCCGTGACGAGTCCGCGCGCAGGTGGAATCCAAGTTGTGGATGAAGACCGGTGAGGATGCGCCATTCGGATCCCGTAAGGTCCGTTATGACGACTTCGACTATTGCTTGGAAGCCTATGGCGACTTGGAGAAGGTATTTTAGGACGGAGGACCCCACCAACCGATGTTCCGAACCTTTCACGGGTCAAACTTGGGGCTTTCTCCCTATATTTAGATATATTTCTTGTCTAGACGGATGAATACACATCTGGTACCCGAACCAATGGAGTGGGCTGGAACCACAGTCGGGTTAGGTTCGCATCTGGAGGTGTCCGGTCCTATTTTTGTTGGGTGTCCCCTTGAGGAAGATGTTGGTTTCAAGGATTTTTTTGGGTAGTTCCTCTTGCTTTTGATTCTGGAGGGAGTTGGAGGGGTTGTTGAATGTTGTTCTCTTTTTTTGTGAGCACTGAGGCATTTGGGGGTGAGGTGAAGGGAAGATTGTAGATTCGATCGCCCAGCTTCTTCGGCTGGACACTGACTAGTGACTAGGAAGACGTGCGCCTGTTTTCAGGAAACGGCAGAAACTACACACCTTCGGAAATTCTCGGGCGCGCGGCGAGCAGCCTGATACTTTCGCTCTTTAAGTGAGCTAGGGTGAATGTGATCAGATTTAGACTTGGTTAATTTTTCTTGGATTTAACCTACCCGAATAGAATAGCCAGGTGGCAGGGGATTGAGGTAATATACCATAAAGCCACTGACGACACTGGCAAAAGCCAGAATCAGCCCCAAATCAACCCAAACCCACCTTCCCTTATCCACGCCCAGCGCCCAAGGGTCCGCACCGATGGGCTCAGCTCATAGCTGACGCCCCGCGAACCGATGACCAAGGCACTTTGAATCCCACGATCTGCAAGCCGCCGCGACCTTAGCCGCAGTCCTCACAGCATCTCACAGCAGTAGGGTGAGGCGCTGTTTTGGCCAGGTTTCGTCAGAAAAAAGGGTGGCCACACGCAAGAGGCATAAAAGGCCTATTTCTTTGGTTTCAAGATGCTTCAAGGTGATGGAGTTAAGAGCTTTGGCTCCTGCCACATATGAATTCAGCGGCTGCATGCGCCGGCATGCTGCTGCCTTGTGCAAGTCTGCTAGCAGATAGGGTGAGATTTGTTTGCACACCAGCGGCTTGCGCAAAAGAACTTGTGAGCATTCTCAAGGTCGTACTTGATCAACGGATGGAATACTACGGATGCTGGGATGGCATGGCACGGTCCCAATTGTCACCTCTCCCATCCGTCCTTCTTTCCCAGCCGTCGCTACAATGATCACACATGATCACACCTAATTAGAAGGATCCCCAATCCAGGCAGTCCCAGAGTCAACCAGCTATATCCTGGATTCCAACAACCAGTATTTTAATGGTCTTATCAAAGAAATTTTCTGTTGTACTTTTAGACTATAACACCAGGTCAACCAGTTTCCCCAAACAGTGTGGTAACAGTAGCAACTCTTACGGTAATAGTTAAGGCCGGGGTTTGACCGGAGTGGTGCGTCAGGCGGTCCGGCTAATTCGTTGCTATTTACAGAGTATATACATTCAGAGATCTTCGAAGTTCATATCGAGTGCGGAGGCTCGCAGAATCTGGTGGGCTGGCACGGGTGCTGTTCGAGACCGTGCTCTCGTTGTGATGCCGTGCAGATTCTCGGGCTTGGTGATCGCTTTTTGTGGCAGGCACAAGGAACACCTCGTGTTTTGGTGGTCCAGAGTCGACTTTTCGTGACAGGTGCAGGAGATCGGAGCGGTTTTACCTCGACGTGCGAATTTTGTGGAAGGCTCAGTATTTTGGACATGGTGGTGGTCTTCGGCGTGCTCTGATTCCGTGGCAGGTGCGGTGAATCGTGACCTTTGGGTGTGGCTCGTTTTCAGAAATTGGAGGATGTCTCGAGTGGAAGCTGCGTTTTGGATCTGGACATACAGGAATACAAAATTTTGCTCTTCAGTCAACTCAGCGGCTGTTATGCTGTTCAACATGTTAAGGAAAACCATTTACAAAAGAATATCATCAAGCATAACACAGCTGATGGTTGGCCACTGGTGTTCAATCGACGTGTCTCCCCTATGGATCACTGCGGCAGCGAACGCACACAACACAAGACTACAAATCCCGGCCTACTGCTCGCAATACTCACTGGCTCGCAATACTCACTGGCACATTTATTGTGAATGCCACGCGAAGGTTTCAATATGCCAAGGTAACTGCCGCATAAAGAAACTCCTTTGAGTTGCCGTTGGCGCCACCAGCAATCAATCAGACATAATTAACCACTGTTGGGGCGGGACTTCGGGAGGGCGCGCACAAATCAAGGGCAAGTAGCTGCAGCCGCATTCGACAACTGCCGCTGGAGTTCTTCGATTTCTCGCATGCGACGGTCATGCTCTTGCATAGCATAGCGTCCTGAGGGTGCCGAATCAGATGGTTCCTGATGGTCTTGGAAGGTTCTACCAAACAGATAGGTAGCAGTAGGTTGCAGAAAACAGCAACAAATAGAAACACCATCATTGATCACTGTCATAACTCGGCTTCTTTTTCACTCTTCATCAGCTCAATTACCACTATCACGCAGGCTTGTTAAGTCTGACCTGGGTGCAAAGACTGCACTAAATGTACACTGATCGCCATTGATCTATCAAAGTTATTTGCAAATATTTGCGATGCCACTACCTATTTAGATCAATTTATGGGCTTACGATCTTACGGCCATAAATGAATTGGCGGACATTGTCACAGGGGTCGTGGTTGGTTGGCTTCTGGTTGTCATTTCAATTTTTAGGTACACTTAAATTGCTGTGCCTAGATGGTTGGGATTTTTTCAAGATTGCCAGTTGCCTTCCATCAGATCGACTTACGCTGGGATTTTCTTATGCTCTCGATCCATTGAGAAGCCATTGAGATTTAGGCTGGCAACCATGGAAAGCGGGAAACCTTTTGAAGCTAAAATTTCAAACTTGAATGAGCACATTCCACAGGTTGTTGTTTTCCCAAATGCATTTGTTCGTATGCCAGTACGTGACAGTGGCATCCCTTTGGATGATTTTGATATGTGTTGCCACAAAGTCTGGATAAGTTGTAGGCGTTCTGGGGGGGGACAAAATGTGACTTTGTCAAGTGCCCCCTGCTATCCATTTCAAGGCTTGATCTCGACCCGCCTCTTGCCCAGATCTCGCCCTGACTGGTTTGGAAGCATGGAAAACCATACTTGCGTTCCATGCAGACGTTTAGTTTCTAATAATCATTCGATCACAGTTGGTTCGGACTTTCTTTGCCTTAGACATGACCAGCCCTCATCGTTCATGGCCAACAACTTGTTTCCACCTCTCGATTCCAAAAGGTTCCCTGCTGCGAACTGCCAAATTTTGGCAAAACATGCTACCTGTGAACGCCTCAGACTACGCCATGCGATATATGGGCCACAAAGTCCTCAGGAATGCTCTTGTGCAATCTCTTTGCGCCAACAGTGCTGATCTCAGACGGGGCTTCGATCGTCAGCCTTGAGCCTGAGAACCTTCAAAGCCGGTAATGCTGATCGTTGCAGCTGAGGCCAGGTAAGAACTGCTTTGTGGCGCCTGAAGGAGGAGCAGCGTGCCAGAGACTCCAAGTCGCACGTTTCAAGATTTCTCGTAATTTGTTGCAAGCTTTGGAAAGCGTGCAGGATCCAGATGGCGAGAAGATTCAGAGAACCTGTCCTTCAGGCTTTCCCACGGGAAGGCGGCAAAGTGAAACATGAAGACGGTAGCAGACATGTTCTAGCAAATCGCCGAGGACTTTGTCACACTTCTGTCACGTTCAAGCTGAGGATTTGCAACAAATCCTTCGAGCGCTGATGCTTAATGAGTGTCAGCAGCAGGACTTGCAGGTAAGCTTGCGCGTGGGGCAAACCTGGTTGATGTTGCCAGCACTCATATGTTTTTTTCAAAGAGTAAGCCATGCATTCACATGGCAAGACTGCGGGCGGCTCATCAATTCATGTTATTTTATACATTGTGGAAATTCTAGATCTCATGCACGCATCCAAACCCGACTTCACAGAAGGGTTTTAGGGCAGCGAAAGGGGGGCTGCTCAGACAGCTCTTTGGCTGAAAACAAGTTGAAACGACGGCTGCAGTCTCTATGCTTGATCTGATACTACTTTAAAACAGCTGAAAGCTTATGCGGGGTAAGATACAATAGTCGCCTCTCTTCCTGGGTTGCAGCGTGTTAGTAACAACACCACCTGCCAGATAGTTATGTATAGGTACCCCAGAAGGCTTCTGCGCAAGCATTGAGCTCATCACAACACAAACTGCCTGCAGTCGGACCAAGTTTCTCTGTTTATTTTTTTCCTTCTTGCCTGCGTACTCTTTGCCATTCAGCATGCTGCGAACTTATGTGCAATCGGCTTCTGTTGAACGCGTTTGTGCTTCTGCAGTGAGGCCATGGTTTATGTTTATATGCGATGGGCCCCTATGTTGTGCTGCCATTGCCGTCCAACTTTCCAGGCACCTGCAAGCGTGTGCGCTTGTGTGATGCATGCTGTGCCATCTAAGGCGACAATCAACCTTAGGTGGAGAGAGCCCTTAGGTCAAGGTAAACAACCCTCAACCACACACGGCATTGTGCGCCCCGTGGAGGACATGGGCTTCGTTGTGTGGGGTGTGATTTCTGACGATGAAGAGGAGGCCGTCTGCACGAGTGCTGAGTCTTTTTGGTGCATCGTGTCGTGCGCCGATCTGAAGCAGGTCTGAACGATAGAGAAAACGGCTGACCAGGAGAGGCGCAAATCCAGCATGGTCGGCGTTAAGGCAAACCAAGACCCAAGCTTGCAGGACTACGCCGCCAGACCCGGAGCCCCAGGTGGTAGAGGCAAGTCGCAGCGGCAGTCACATCCCATACATAGGGCCTAGACACACACTGTTGCAAGTGCTCAAACCAAGATGATACCGCTGGAGTTGACGAGCTAACATGTCTAGTGGTTCAGGTTGCAGATTACGAAGTAGAAATTCTTGACCATGCTTTCAGGAGTTGCGCCAGATTACCCAAAGTTGCAATTAATTCCCGATTCTATGATCCGGATTTGTGCTTTCCCCTTTTTCGGCTGCAGCTCTTTGGCTGACTTCAACGTGGAAGCCGCGTTCCCTCTCTAGAAGGTTGCCTAAGGCAACCGACCCTTCAAAGCCTGAAGGGCCCCAGACAATCCCAGACAGCTTCAAATGCGAGATGTCACGATAGGAAAAGAGTATAAAAGAGCGTGCTTGGGGCGATTACATTTATGCCCTTCTGTTGATGGTAAATCTGGCAGACCACGCAGTCTGCTGAACATTTAAAATGACAAGGTGGGTTGGCCATCCTACAAATACAAGCTTAACATTGCAGCGCATCATCTTTGACGGCTGCAATCACTACAATTTGAAGGTGCTGTCGGTTTTGCATTTCATCTGTGTTGCCATACAGGCTTCCTGACCGAGAAACGGCGTTGCAACTCACAGTTTTTCGGCGCGAAGATGGCGGGTGTGCGCGCTCAGAGATCAAGCCTCAGGTGGAGCGCGTGGGAGGTTTTCCTCTGAAGCTGTGAAGGGAAAGCGCCAGTCGACTCGTCAACCTCCCTCATCGCCCTTCTAGGACCACCATGTAGGAAGGCAACAACCTGATGATGTCTGCTCAATCGTTCGTTGGAAACAGCGCTCAAAGGTCTTGCAGGTACAATGCATTTGTGAAAAAGTTGGCGATTGTCTGTCGAGTGGCCTGATTCAAGCCACTGTCCAGGGTACCTGTGATTTGCCCTACTTGGCAATCATGTCCTCCATACTCAATCAGAATGTTGGCAGCCGCTTAAGGCTCTTCTGTGAGGTTCTTCCAAGTCAGTGAGGTGCTTGGCCACTTTACGCAGCGGCACTCCTGACACGCGGGTAGATTCAGTGATGAGCCAACCGCAGAAGAGAAGAACCATAGAACTGTCGTTCGACTCAGCGTTCATGTCTCAGTAATGTGCCAAATTATTCTGAGTCGAGGATGTCGTTCAAGCGTCACACCATAAAAGCCACCGTGTCTCGCCGTGAAAACACCAGCGCTTGTGACGACTTGGGATGGATTCACGCTCCCATGGACAGAAGAGATGCTATCCAAGTTTGTGTTTGTGAAGTGGCATGTGGGCACCACCATCGCCACCACCACCATCGCCGCCACCGCCATCGCCACCATCATCAGCACCATCACCACCACCACCACCACCATCACCGGTACCGCCACCAGCACCAACACCATCATCATCACCGCCATCACCACCATCACCGGTACCACCATCATCATCATCATCACCACCACCACCACCATCACCACACTCTGGAACCCAATATGTCTAGATCTTTAGACCTTCTGCTTCTACACCTCTAGACTCTAGACCCTAGACCTTGAGATGCTCCATGATACACTGTTTGGGGTCTCTGGCCGGGGAATTTGAAAAGGTTTGGAAGGCTACGTTCAGAATTTCCCCCACCCCGAACATAGTGAAGTGGTGCTCACCTGTTTGGGATTCGATCGTGCCGCGCGAGACGAGCCGAGGATGGCGAATCGGTGGCACCACTCACGCAACTCTCAGTGGCTTATGACCCAGCTGGGGAAGGTGATGGTGACCTGGTCATCGCTTGACTGCTTGACCTTGGAACCCCTTTTTGGGGGTCACGCATTCAATCCAAAGGGTTTTGGTCAATGTTCCTTCTCCACGGGGGTCGAACTGGGAGGTCTTGCTATTTTAATAAACACACATCGTTTAGTCATGTCCGCCGTTTGGATTGGGACCCACTGTCCCATGGCAGACGTGCTTCTCTTCGATCTGTTTCTTTTTCGAATCGCCCCTTTTTTCACTCGCTGCGCTGATGCTTCCTGCTCCGAGGCGAGCATGTGGTGGGTCCAGCTGCAGATCGCACGCGGAGACAGATCTTTTACATCACCCCCACCTGTGCGAACACCTCAGCACGGCGCTTGACCGTTTGGAAGGCGGAACGGGGAGAACTCACTGACGTTTGTCTGATGTAGCACGAGGATGCATGAGACGACGAGCCATGGTCAGGTCATTTGATTTCCCATACAGGTTGCGTTCGATGAGCACTCAATATATTGGCTCACATTCGATTCACTTCGTCTCCAGCCAACAGACAACGACTGGGTGTTCGACGATTCCCAAAGCGACCGCTTAATTGGTCCGAACTTCCCGGTGACGGCGTGAATGCGTCAGTCGACTCGCATTGGTTCCCTGAAGGACGCCACTGGAGTCACCGTGGGTCTAAGAACCAACTGCTGGAAAGTCCTGTGGTTTTTCTTCAGTTTTGGTGTGAGGATGTGTGAGGTGTGAAGGCATGAGATTGGAGAAGGGCTGGTACGATCAGTGTGCTGCCTCTTGAAGGGACAAGTGTTTCTTCTCCCTTGCAAGAACATTCGGGCTTTTGAACTCACAAACTCTCAGATCCTTCGACTGTCCTGCAACTTTAGATGACTAACAGCGGAACCCCCCGAATCAGAGGAGGTTAGGGAAACTGATTTTCCACCCCCCCAAATAAAAAAGACATCAGAGCGTCGAACACAACACGAAAGCCCTCTCCGTGATACCACCCAACTGCATCGCAGTGTGTCTCGCTCATGAATTACGCCGCACCTACGGAAAACTCTATACCAACTCCCCCCCCACCGGGCGCTCGTTTCTCCACCGCACAGGTGAAGTTCTTGTTGGACAACCAGATCGTGCCTGATGGGACCGTGGCAGATCCGTTGACCTGCGCCAACGAGTCCTACGTCTACGCGCTGAACCGCTACGAAGTGGACACCGGGAAGTTCTCGCTGATCTACGTGGCCAAGCGCGCGGACTTCCCGGCGCCTGAGAAGTGGACGGCTCCGCAGATGGAAAGATGGGGGGAGAGGTTGAAGAGGAGGCAAGAGCCAACAGAGGTTGAAGGACTCTTATATATATATATATAAGTACCCCAGATGAGGGACCCCTTCTTTGGGACCCAAGTGGTGGCAACATGTGATGGGAGTGGGAGGAGGCTATTTTTGTATCTATTTTTCCATGTCAAGGCTTTTGGATGTGTCTCCATGAACCTTGAAAGTGAGATGGGACAGATGGTATCTTTTGACAAACAGTCTAAAGTGACACGAGAAGTTTGCCCACCTTGGAAAAAGATCTGGTTTGGCCATGTTTGGACCAAATTCCAATTCAAAAGGACCCTAGGCCCTGGGATTCAAACCACCATTGCTTCAAAGGTCTTTACCGAACAACCATTGTTTTACTACATTAAGGATTTTACACTGCAAAACCAGGTGAACCATTTTCAAAATGGTCTTTGAAGGCTAGGGGGATACTTGGTCGTGACTGCTGGAGTCAGGCTTACAGCTGGAAGTTGGCCGTGGACAGCACCCGTCAGCGCTTATACTGGTGGTACTATGCTGGCTCCTGTGCGGTAGCAGGTGACTACCGGGATGTTGGGGGAGCGAACAGTGGAACAAAATGGAACAAAGATTCTTTTGTGCTTTCTTGTGGGAGACTATACGGGCCATTTCCAGGACATCGGTGACATCCTCCAAACTGCAATCGGCAGTAAAAACTGCCCCAAGAAAAACGGGCCGACAACAGGTACCTGCGATGCGCCCTTGTACTATATCGATTTATCGACCTTGGCCGATGATGGCGCCATGCCCACACCCGTCTTGGCCGCGACGGTCAACGATGGCTATGGGCATGCCTCTTAGCTGGAACAATGGAGGAAGCGAAGAGCAGCACAGCGAAAAAGCACTCCTCAAAGGCGGCGGCTGATGCATGCTAACGTGGTATTTTTCTTGGGATCTTTGACATCAGCAATCATCAGCAGCTCCATAACACATTCATACACATTCAATGTGTATTACCATGTATTATATATCTTAATATAGTGATCTATAGTGATTACTATAATGTATTATCCTAGAATCTGAGTGACCCCTGTTGTGGAGCCAAAACATGTTCTTTTGCTCTCAAAACAGAGGTTCATTGGGTTCTGGGAATGTAACGCAGGCTTTCTGAAAACATCTGAAATAGCAAAGGGTAACTACTCAAAGCCATCCAAAACCGGCCTCGCATGGCCCCGCGCGCGAAACGCGCGACGGAGCCATCGCATCCGGGTGGAGTGGCACGGGGTTTGAAGGCCGGTTCCGGCCGGCCTTCGCTGATGAAGAGGCTCATATCCGTCATCCGACTCAGTACGTTGATCCGAGCATTTGGATCATTCAACATCTCATGGCTTCTTGTTCCTAGTAGTAAGGCACTTGTTACTAGTAGCGATGCACTTGTTCCTAGTAGCTTCTAATTTTACTCATTTCTTGTTTCATCTCAAATCAAAACCACTTGTGTCACAGTGTGTGCATCTGCACTTAATCAATCCAATGTGAGGCTTACTGGGATATGGCTGCTGATGACAGCGGGATGATCTACTTGGTGGATTGGTATAAGATACGCCACTTGATTTGCCATGTGAATGCTGACAGCAGTTTTGTAATTTTACTGGACCCAACACTTCTTGCCAACTATACAGACTTTTTCGTTAAACACATATCGAGGTGAACGTGCTAGATGTCAATCTCCAGAAGCTAGATGTCAAGTACCGACAGACATCCACAGCAATTGTCGGGATGTGACCCTCTCCGGTTCCTTTGGCTGTTGGCTTGGGGGAACCCCATCGACCCCTCCGGGATCGGAAGCACGCCATTTCGGTCTTTGGGTGCGAAGGTCTTGGAAACTCAAAACGACTTGGGCTTGTTACTAGTAGCTTCTTGTTACTACTAGTAAGGCACTTGTTACTACTAGTAAGGCACTTGTTTCTGCCAGGAGTCACAAAAGGGTGTGGCTCGTGCCATCCAGGGCTTTTTGAACCTCCATGGATAGCACCCAACTCCATGGAACTGGTGGTGGAAGTGTAAGTCTTTTTTGATTTGGGATTTCACACACGAATCTTGCATGACACACTTTTTGGGAATCATCTTTGAGAGTGGAACTGACTGCATACGATCGCTCCGTGAGGCAAATACGATCCCACGACTCAGCAGTTGAGCACGCTGCACACCGAAGACTATTTGAACACTGGGTGGCAGTTCTACGGCGTCAGCCATTGGGGAGGCCAGTGGTAGAAAGGCCAAGCTTAACACAAAGGTTAGTGGGGGAAACCAGATTGTGCGAACACCAGGGTGACGAACAGCAGCCTTTGCAGGGTCGGGGTCAGTAGTATAAGTGGATGTTTGTGAGGTCAGGTCACGAAACACGTAGATCAATGTACATAATATATGATCTCCATTCACCGGAATCAACAACCTCTCGATTCTTGTTGCTTCTTCCGTTGGTGGGTATTTGTTGGGTGGTTCTGCCTACTTCGGCGCAGGGACCAGCAAGTTGGTCATCACCAAGACGAACACTGTGACGGAGCTGACCAACACGGTCATTGACGGAGCTTGTTGCTGCTTAGAATCCACCCTCAGGAATCCCATGTTGACTAAGAGATATGACTTCTAATTATTGTATATTATTGTTTTCTGGAAAAGAGACAGGGGAGGCGAAGCAGAACATGGAAACACCCACCCGATTTGGAGCCTCCCATTCTTGCAGCTTGGACCAAGAAAAAGCAGGCCGACTCTTCAGCTCTTAGGTGACCTCCAACGCTAACACGCTAACCTCGGTTCTCAGGTGACCTCCAAGTTGTGGATTTTTGACACCAGCGACTCCTCTTGGACAGAATTCTGGAGCGCCGTGCATTACGAGTTCTCCAACCTAGGCGCGGGGATTCGGGACCCGTTGGGTCGGCGCATGACCGGCCGCGGTCCGGACGGGTGTTGGGTGATCCACCCAACCGTTCGCCTCACACCGAATCCCGAGCAGTCGGCCTTTCGTCGGTTTTTTCCTGACCATACATGGCTAGCCTAGCCTTCGGACCAGGGCTCCAGCAACCCTCCACATCCAAGGGCTCTTACTGCTGTGCTATTCTATTTGAAGGTTTCTCCTCCAGGCCAAGCCCTTTGCGGCTAAGGCCAGAGCCTTGAAAATACCATATAATACCCATGCACAGAAAACCGTGTTTGAAATAACAGGTAGTGTTGTGAAAAACGGCCCCCGAATTTCAAGCCGATGTTCTTTCTGTCGCCAGATCATGTTATTTGTTATCCTTTGTCTGAGCCCAGCGACCTGTTACCCTCCTCACCCTGAAAGAGGCCAGACCATGTACAACCATGCCGTGGACGAGACCCACAACGTGCTTTACGTGGCCACCAGCGGCGGGAATTCGGCGGGTCGCTCCATCATTGAGCTACCGCTGTCGATCAGCGGCGCGTCGATGCCCTACAAGGTGCCGGGACGGAACGGGGAACGGAGTGCAGGTGCGGGTGGCGGTGCCAGGTGTGGGTTGTGTATGTTTCTTTTAATTGTATAAACTCTTGATGATAACAATACCATATATTATGAAGAGGTTTTGGCTGCGACGGGTACTTGTTTTCATCAACAAGATCCCTGAACACCGTATGTATCCCTGATACACGGACCAATATCGCCTCAAGACAGAAGGGCGTCCTTTGCCCCAAGGGCCTATAGTGAGCATTTCCCCGTTTGTCAGTTGACGAGCTCGTTGGATTTGCTGAATTCCTGGTGGAGGGTTGTTCAAACAAGTCTCCACAAGGGAGGTCCCGCTTTGATTCTTTTCGTGCTTCGTTTCGCATTTTCTCACATAGATTGGTGTGCTGCTGATGGACCTGTGTGTCCACAGTCACGCCTCAACAGGGAGTTGACCATTCTGAGACCAAATGTGCTGAACGTGTGGAGTTGCTAGGTCTTTTCTCTGCGCGTTTGAACAGCTGGTGGGAGCCTCATAGCCCAGACTATCCATGGGCATATTACATACCAACATTGACCCCTTTTCAACCACCCCAATGTAGGAATATGCCATATATTATATACATGGATGGTCTGGGTAGTAGAACGCACTCTCAGCCAGTTGCAGTTTACTAACCTGCTCTGAGTCTGCTCAGTGGTCGAATTCTTCGAGGCGACATGTCAGAAGCTCTCAAACGACAGCAAAACAACCAAAAAAGCAGTTTTGATACGTCGCATCGGACCAATCCACTGCCCCCGCCTCTCAAGCGCGGAATCGATCTTGAAAGCCGCAGGGATGTCTCCAGGGCACTTTCTCTCTTCACTGCCCTTTGTATGGCAATGGAGAGCGCCTGGTGGTGGGTGACAAGTGGCCTGACCGCAGTCAGCGCCAAGACATAGCTCCGAGAGTCAAGGCGACTCCGAAGTGAGCATGGGTAGGTGCCTGAGAATCCAAGTCACCTCTGCAATGTCATCACCCTTGTTCTGGTGTTGAAAAAGAAACACCAAACCAGGGACCATCTCGGCCAACTTGCGAACTTCCAGAAATACATCGTGCGAGTACAGGGGGTTAGGTCTTAGGGTACACAATCAACGTAAAGCCAAAGTGAAAGAACTTGCTGCTGCTGCTGCTCCTGCTGCTGGTTGTTGCTGCTGCTGCTGCCTGGTACACGCTGCTTGCTGCTGCTGCTGCTGCTGCTGCTGCTGCTGCATCAAATAGTGCCCCTGCTGCTCGTTTTAGACAAGGAATGCCAGTGAGCAAGAGATGCTGGAAATCTTGCAAGGCTCAAAAGCGAGACTTCCGGTAGCAAGCCCTGTAGAAGGTAAGCCAGCGCTCAAAGGTACCATAGTAGACGGATTCTCAGTGCATGTTCTTGAAAAAGTTCCAATTCCCTGTGATAGAGCGAGCCAGTGAGGTTACTAAGCCGTACAGATACTGTGAGACAGTCATGCATGTTGATAGCCTTTCAACTTACATAGCAATCAAAGCAAAGCATACTCCATCTTTTGCCCAGTCTACAAGCGACAATGAGACCCCTTTGCACACTCGCAAACAGAAGTGCAAACAAGACGGCCTCCAGCAAAGGTGTAAACGACAAAAAGATCATCTTCAACCTAATCATGAGTACACTGAATCAGTTGCTGTGAAGGTTATGTGGTTCATGTGCAAAGGGGAAGGCCCACTTAGCCATGGCATGCTCAAACTTCGCCACAGAGCATGGCGAGGAGGGTGACAGGTGTGCCTTAGGACCCTCCAGGCTTCAGGCGTGCAGCACGGAACTCGACCCCAAACACTAGTTAATCCGCTTCTAGGAACAAGTGCATCGCTACTAGCAACAAGTGCCACGCTAGTACTAACAAGAAGCTAGAAGCTTCTTGTTATTACTAGTAAGGCACTTGTTACTAGTAGCGATGCACTTGTTCCTAGACGCACCCGACCTGACCCGACCCGAACCTCCTCGAGGTCGGCGGCCTTTTCGGTGGCGGGCGACGGCAAGGCCACGAACTTCGCGCCCGGCACGGCGCATCGCTTTCCCGCCTGGGGCACCTCGCAGATCGCCGTGATCCCGGCGAACGGGGGAGACAGCTATCCCAGCAAGCAGCTTAGAAGAATGAAGAAGGGAGAACAACACGTGTTTTGCGTCAGAAGGATTCGATAGACGATGGGTTTAAGACGATATGTCTGTCAGATGAGTGGTTTTGGCAGGTGTTTGAGGTGCTCGCTGAGGATATATGATGATCTATGGAGCAAGGATTATTCAGTGATTATTAAAGTGGAAGATGAACTCATCCATGATGTACTGGTATGTCATCATGATGTCATATGGCACGCACTGGCACATGATATGATCAACACTATAGAAATGATATACTTTCAGGACCTTTCAGGAACTTGTGGAACTCTCCACTTAAACCTGACGTCTTTCCCTGGTCCGCCCTCCACTCACGGATGATGAACGCTCGCATGCGGCTGTCGCTTCAGTGCCCACCTCCCGTCCCTCGCCGGGCCGTCGCTCCGACCCTCGGCTCGCCCAAGGAATCCGTGTTTCAGCAAGGCCGCCGCCTCCATCGACACCTTGAGCGCTCGACTGAAGGCCACAACACGGAGCACCTGTGGCAAGACGCCCTCAAGTGGCTTCGATACCAGGCGTGGCATCGCCGGCTCCACACCATGCGGCGCATGTGGGTGGATTGGAATAGAGAGACAGCTCATATCTGACCCAAGGGTTTGATCAGGGGCTTTTCCGCCGAAGAGATCCCTGATGGTCTAGCGTGATCGTGCGGGTAACAGAATTCATCAGAAATAGCAAGGCCAATGTGTTGGTTTGGTTGGCTTGTGATCCATTGACCAGTGTCCTTCCAAGTCATCGTAGTGCTTGTCAGAAACCAACAACACAAGCCCTCGGAGCGATGATGAACAATGAATTACATTCCTAAAACCTATTAAAACCTGTATTTTGAGACCAAAACATGGTCCCATGTCCTATCAAAACAGAGGTCAAGGCTGGTTTCCAGCCCACCATCTCAGTGGTTGGGGCCTGTTAGTGGCTGGGGCATCCACACAAGTGTCACGATCGCATTTTGGAAAAACCGTCTCATCGTCTCGTGTTGTTTTTCTGATTGCGAGGCATCTGCTCTTCACCGTCGACGCTGGGGACAAGTTTCCCAACTATTTGATGCGACGCTCGACTCCGAGGTCTTGGGGGAGGAGACGGAGACCTCCGGATCCTGACAGTGCCAACCGGTGCGAGCGATTCCCAAACGCTACCAGTAGGGCTTCTCAAGCAAATGATGGCAATGGCAACAGATGCACTCGCGCATGTTTGCGCTCTAAGACGTCTAGTGTAGCTCTACTGCCAATATCGTTCTTTGCCTTTGGTCCTGTATGCTTGGCTGATGGCGGCTTGAAGTCTTGTAGGCATGAGACACACGTATTGTTCAAAGGAACTCCAACCTCTCATGACCTCTCTGTTCGACCAACCCGAACCCCCAACATGTCAATCCACGAACATGTTTTGACGATGTTGACAAGATCGAAATCGAAACTTCATGAGATCATACCTACTTAGACGACTTCTTCTCACGTGGCGAGGCATCTCCGGACGGTTCGTTCGTAGAACGTGCTGAGGAGACTACGTCTCTTTGGAGGGCTTGGCCCAGTCATCCGATGGAAGCTTTGGCTATGCATACCAAGGCCAGCCGAACATTCGGAACGGGAGGAATGAGAGGCATCTAGATCAACAAGAAACAAGATATAAAATACAAGATTAATTAGGATCAACAAATGATATACTGCTGAGAAGGTCCCAGGACTTCCCATACCTTTGATCTATTTTGGTCTCCTGGTCTGTTAGAGCTGTGCCACTGACCTCTTGTCAAAGTCAGATGAATCTGCAATGTGAGTTTGCATTTGAGTCTAGTATTTTCAAGTCCAATTCGAAGACGCAAAAGAAAGACCAAAGACAAGGAACGATTTTTTCACCGAACCATACCGAACCATACCGAAGATGCCCAATCGGAGTTTGATTCGGCCCTTGAAACGAAGACCAACCATGGCCGTTTGATTGTTTCGGCCAGCCGCGAGGCCAACGTCGGGCCTATGCCAGCTTCATGGACCTTTGGATGCAGTAGAATAACATCGAGCGAATCTTGATACTGTTCTTTTCAACTTCCCACTTTTTTCCATGGCTGGTCCACACGGTTTCCCACCTTTTTCAACGTTCAACTTTGGATGTCCCATTCGAACTCCGTGCTCCTCATTTACAGCGGACACACTTGACAGTAGCAACTGCACAGAAATATTCCGAAGAATGAAGACAACGTGGTTTTCTCCAAGACTTCCTTCTTTAAATTGATCATCGAATCCAAGCATACTAGTCTTTCCAGATCGCCAACTCCCTTCTCTGACCTCTTCCTTGTCGTTTGTCAGGACGTCGCCACAGGCGGGGGCAACACCGGAGAGATTCCGGGGCTCCATTCGATTTGGGGCTATGGCAATGCCATCAAAGGCCCTGCGGTGGATTTCATCAATGGAGCCTTTGATGATCGATGCCACACACGGCAGGTTGGGGTGGAGTGGTGTGGCGACGTTTGGTGGAGACTCATAGAACGTCTCATAGAAAATTCCAACATAGAACGATGATCTGCTCGTCTCATAGAGCCACATGCCAGACTTTTTGGTTGTTAAAGTTGCTTAAGGTTGGTCAACTCACTTTATTAAAAAATACCTGGTTCATTTTTTTAAAGTGGAGATCCGAGGTTGAACATCCCATTCTATAGAGAGATTATCTCTGTGGATGCCCTTCAAATACTTGCAAGTGTTCAAATAGCTAGGTATCCTTCGACACTTTCCTCTTAAACATTTTGGAGCCACTTCTGGCCATGATGTTCTCTTTGATACGCTTTGTCTCAATTCTGGGCTGAGTCAGCTTGGTCTCGTCGAAGGCGATCAGTTTGCTGAGGATTCGCGCGAAGAAGACCTCATGTTGACTTGTTTTTTTTCCGTCCATCTCATGTCCCAGTCCTACCACCCGAACGCATCTTCTTCCAGTGAACTGTGGGTCGTAGTTTGCGTGGGTTTGTATTCTCGTTAGAGTTTTTTGTACGCGAAGGACACATGGTTTTCCGGATCGCTTAAGGATATGTCTACTTCATCTCGTGTGAGCGCACGGCGCTCCCAGTGATTTGCTCCGAGTACGCTTTGAAACGAGCTCCGCGGTTAGAGATAGGAGATCAGCGAATCGTCGGGGTCAAAAGATATGAAGGCTAGTTGTGGTTGTAAACCCATTGGTATCAATAGTTGGTTTGCAGAAAGTTTGGTTGTTTTGGGGAGACCAGTGCCTTAAACTACGGCAAGTAGACCTGGAGGTTCCTTCATGCCTCACAGCAGCGCAGGAAGAACTCAGCATTTTGAGGTCAGTCTGAGCGGTTGAAGGACCCTGCTTCTCAGGTCAGGCTTTGCTTGTTCGCTCCAACGTTGCAGCAGTTTCACCTAAGAAATGCAGTTTCCAGCAGTCTTTGACACGTGCGATAACATGCTGCAGGGCTCGATATGGCTCCCTAGAATGACATTTCATATTGACATTCACTTGGACCAAAAGCCAGGCCTATGGGGACTCATCCCTTCCACCTATTAAAAACACGGGCCCCCCTCCAATAAGGAAACCTCGGTCGCATTTTTTCTAATAGGGGGTCCCTGAAATCGGGTGGTCCAAAATAGGGTCACCTGGAAAGAGTTTCAAAACCAAAAAGTAATCCAGGAACATTTTTTGTAAAAGCATTTATTAAACTCGTATCAAAAATGCAAAAGACCTCCAGATCGAAGGGTCTTCCTTTTCCCCTACAAAAACCTTCATTAAAATAGTGATTCTTGAGTAGACTAACAGCTAAAGCTTTCGAAAGTTGATGTCGCTGTGCCATGCCGTGTTGCATGACCTCGGTGGCAAGTGCGTTTGCGTGAGTCCGTGCCATTGGGGGAAGGAAAGCCTGCTGGTGTAAGCGCGGCGTGTCATGGTGGATAGACAGGGCGGACAGAGGTGGGCAGTTACGGTTGTTTTTGGAACCTAATAAGAAAAACCCTCCAAAATCGGCCATGTTGGTAGCTTAGTAGCGGCTTGAAAGGGCGGTAACTTAAAAACAAAAACCGTATTTAGGGGGATCCGTTTTTAAATAGGTACTCGGGATTAGTGATTCACCAACTCGATGTTAAACATACTTGCCTGGATCTTCCAACTCTTCAGAATTCCAGCCTCTTCATCTACAAAGCCAGCCATTTTTGTGCGGCAGAACAGGTCTATCCTGTAAAACCTCCCAAAAGCTGGTCGACCCGATCCACACTCGACCGGAGCGAGTGAGGTTCCCATCAGCGCTTTGGAGGCTGCGGCAAAGGTACCAGATCCCATCGACTGCAAAGCCAGTGGCGTGAGTTGCCCCCATTCCGGGCCTACACAAGTCCTGGATGACCGCCAGGTTGGGGTTGCCCAATGTTAGCCCAAAAAAGGACCTAAAAACAAACAAGATTAAAACTTAAGTGTGTAATCTTCCATCACCTTCGAAACTTAATGCGTAATCCGTCTCACTTGTTTGCTGTCCGTCGACTAGGCCGTCATTGCGGCTGCCACTGAAGTGCTCTACACCCAGACGACGCAACTCTTTCCGGGTCCCGACGATACGGTGCCACAGCAGATGAAGTTGGCCATCGATCCGGAAGCCGAGACCTGGTTTTGCAAAAGAGCCGGTATCCGATGAGTTAGTTCTTTTTTTCTGCATTTTCCCTACTAACTCATACTAACTCATGAAATCCTCTCTGGGGAAGATCTTGTCTTTTTTGTCCAGGTTTCTTAAGAACATCCAAGGAGATCATCTACTGGTTAGCTCCACAACCCTCCAGCGGCTACATCTCTCTCCTGTGTCCTGACAAGGAATAAGGGACTCCGGTTTTGGGGGAGAGATGAGGAGAGGAAGATCGAGAACCCGAGCGAAGCCATTTTGGAAGGGGGGAGGGGGACAGATCCACACTAGCATGGCCTCCCAAGCAGCATGGCCATGTCTTGGCGATCCACGCATTGAACATAGTTATAGTTGTCATCTCGATTTGGGAGGCTCTTTCAGGCATGAGGTGGCGAGAGTTTCTAGCAGACTCCACTGATTGGGCTAGGTGAGACAGAGAGAGTAGGCTTCAGAGTCCGAGTTGAAAGCAGATGGCAGAGTTTTATATCTGGGGCTTTTGGCATTTTCAGGTGCGTGCGGAGGTGTGGACGTTGGGTATATGTCAATAATTAATGTTCCGTTCCGGCAGGGTTCATCCCAATTATGCTTGAAGCCAGCTGTGTGGGGCATCCAACCACTGACAGTCAATGCCCTTCTACAGTACTGGCACATCTTCGTCAGGATGTTCGGCATTTTCAGGTATCTCTATTGTCCTTTGCCTAGAACCCCATTTGACATCCCTTTATATCGGACAAGGCTCGCCACAAGGGTTGGCTCAACATCCAGCTCCAATCCACTCTCAATTGGTACCAGAACTCTCCGACTCGTCTACCGACCCTTCGACTCGCGGGGGACAAGTCCGCACGACCGTTAGGTACCTGGACATCAAAGGGTGGGACTCCTCGAAGCCGAAGTTCGAACCCTGCGACGTGGGCGAAGTGGCCGGGCACTACGCCTACGGCAGCTGGTGGCTGAGCGAGATCGGGCAAGCGTGAGCGTTCGTTCGCGTTCAGTTCGACTATGGGGTTCGCAGAGTTCGCGTGCGACGGCGGGAACGGGTGGGGAGGAGGGGTGGGGCATGTTCAGGATCGATGGAACGTCCTCGGAATCCTTTCAAGAGGAGGTTCTCCTACCCGTCCGATCATCCCGAAACCTCCCACCAATCCATGGAATATTTGCCTACAATTGGGATAAAAATGTCTTAAAGATATATGACCAATGAATGAATATATGAATATTCCATACACGGACGATTTGGGATTAAGGACGGCACGACCGATGTCGGTGCCTCGACACCTGAGGGGGAAAAAACCGAGGTCGACGTTGCAAGTGGCCTGTGATGGAACCGTCATGAGTCACGAGGTGGATGTGATCAAGACCTTGGAACCATGGCGAGTCGACCGCACCACGCGTGGGGGCCGGGCACTTGCTTGTTGCAGACTGGTTCCTGACATACTTAAGTTGGATGAGCTGGGTCGCTGGGAAGGGCTTTTGGGGATGAAAGCAATTTGGCAGGTTGGCAGGTTGGTTTGCTCGGCAGAATTTTGAATTTCCAGCTGTGAGATGACTTGCCAGGATTGGGAGGGCTATGCTTTCATAAGATGACACCATTTGGGCTTAGTACAGTCACATGCAGGGTGAAAGATCCAAGAGGCAAAGCATTGCAAAAAGAGTCAACACCAAGCAGCATATAATATATATGATGCTTGGTGACCACCTGTATCGAATTCTTTGTGCACATTTCCATGTTCACCAACGAACCAACGTCAGATGACTGCAACGGGGGTCATTCGCTTTCAGACCTGGCTCAGACTCAGCTGCGGAAAACTCTCTCTATATCTCTCGATCCGCAGTGCAAAGGCACCCAGACCTTCCATGTATTCGAAGACTAACTTCTTATAGTGGTCCCCAAATGGATAGAAGCGGTTTCCAATCTTTGGGGATCTGCTTTTCTATCTATTTGACGATATTACATGGACGGTGTGGGGTACATGAGAACACCGACCCATGGTGAGCCACCGACCCGTGGTGAGCCATCACTCTCGGCCTCCGGTGGTTGGACTGCCCACCCAGCAGGGGACCGGGGCCCAGGATTTCACCAACGACGCCATTGTGGCTGAATGTCGATCGCAGGCTGAAAGAGAGAGCGTTTCGAAGTGTTGGATTATTGCAGACTGCATGAATGGCAGCAGATCAAGGATCGCAGCTGGTAGAACGTGGCACCCTTGCAAGCATAAGTTATTCGTGCTATTCTGACTCTTCAATGTGTTTGGGAGAGGTGGCGTGCTTGTCAGAGTACACCAAGGTTACGTGGTGTGTGTGATCTGATACAGGCTTTCCTTGATGCCCAGAGTTCAACGACCCGGGCGAGACAGATGGTCATCTCCCCCGGCTCCAAATACCGTTTCGGTAAGGTGTTTGGGGTGGGTGCCAAGATGGTTAGCCGGTTAGTCCGTACCTTCAATGTACAATGCCCTAAACATCCTAAACCTCACAGCTAGCACTTCTAACGGGTGCCCTGTCTGGAGACCTTTCAGTAGGGTATACGGCAGTCTATTGAACACCCATGATCCATTGGATGACCCTGGCACCCTTTCTTCTCTCATCCCCATCGCCCTTTTAGCCACTCTTCTCACCCCGCAGGCGGCCACCTGGGCCGATCTCCCTGCAGACTCGCGCCCGGGGTGGAAGGGGTGCTGGACGCGCTGGATGACGCCGGGCTGCGGGGTCAGCGCCACTGGGTCCTGCGTGCTGAAGGCGGGCAGGGCGGGCAGGGCGGGCAGGGCGAGTCGCACCGAGGGCCGGAGATCCGGGTGATGCGCCGAGATGTCTTGGGTAACTGAGTGTTCTGTGATGTGTACGTGAAACGACGCAGTAATTATACGGATGATTTAGGGTTGAGTGTATGACATCACGGTGCTGGTGACTGCTATAAATTAATTGGGACAACACATATAAATAAAAGAGATGTCGCACACATCACGACGGCGTTCAACGAGCTTTTCTCAGACCATGACCTATGACCCCAAGCGGGACGAAGTCTACTACGCCTTCCGCGAGAGCACGGTGAAGGAAAGCATCAGTCGCTTCAAGCGCACCGAAGGCTCCAAAGGCGCGGGAATTCGGTTCGACACGCTGCGAACCGGTGGGGTTCACCGTCGCGGTGGTACGGACGGTCCGCGCAACTCGGACGAAATGTTGGTGAGCCTCTTTGGTTTTCGAAGGATTAAGAGCAGAAAGCCCACTTTTTCGAAAGAAAGCCGAAGCTTGGACCACTTGGCGCTGAACGCACATGCCTTTTCTCTTTGGGGGGCGAAGCCGTGATGGTTTCGCCATCTGCGTGAGGCGTGGGGAATGATGAGGTGGTCTACTCTGGAATTTTCTATGAGCTCCCGGATAGCAGTCGATGATTCAAAGGGCCGGTGAGAGTAGACGGCTAGTGATGGCGATGATCACAGACTCGGACAAGTCCGCCGTCTTCCCGTCTGAAGGTGATTCCAAAGAGTTGGATTAATTATGTTGCATTACAGTATATACCTGTAGATCTTCATAGATCTTCCAACTGCTACAACATTTCTGCCATTTGGCTTGGTTTTATAAAAAGGCAGACATTTTGCATTGTTGGAAGATCTATATATAGTAGATATCTTCCGATCGGAGTGAATCCAGCCACTTTTTAGCTTGACTCGAGTGAGAGAGACGCCACGTCGCTTCATTTGGCCCAGTCTCTTCGAAGTCAGCGGCTGCGGGTTCCACCCGTTTCTCCCGGTGGAACCACTTCGGCCCGAAGCTTTGCCCGGTGGAACTCGCTTCTGCCCAACGGTCCGTCGCCGAGTCTGAGGTTCCCACCCCGCGCCGACAAAGGAGCTGCCTTTATCGCAGGCCTCGCGGTGGATTCGCTCAACGAAATGATTTATGTGGCTCGGCCACGGAAGAGGATGGAAAGGCTCGAAGGATGGAACGGGTGCGCCCAGTGAGGTTTCAGGATGTGTTGGGTGTTGGGCGTATTGGAGGTGTTCCATGGGATGGATCATGGACCTCTGGCAGGTTGAACTTGATGCCTCTTGGCTGGTTTAAAGAAAAAAGCCTTGGCATCGTGCTGAGCTGAATCTCCAGGGGTTCACCTCGTCGTGGCGGAGTCTAAGGTAGCGAATTACTATGGCAATTCTGCCCAGCAATCCGTGGCGATGCTGCCTTTGCCCGAGAATGCCAACTATCCAGGTCGGGAAAAACCGGTGAACAATGCGTAGGGGCTGGCCAGTTGGGAAGGTGTAAGCTTCTAGTCAGACATGACGAATGGGACTGAACATTTACCTAGGTAGGCTGTATACCCTGAACCAGTCCCAATGTATGATATAACATGAATAATATGCCACAGATGGAGTCTCTGGGCTAGGATATCTCCCTCAGTTTCTTTATCCAAAATGTGTTTTCGTCCGCTGGTGCATGTTCCTTCCACCTAAGAAGGGATTGCTGAAGCACACCTGGTTTTTGTCGAGCATGTTTGGTTTGATTTCTTATATCCAAAGATGCTCTCAACCAGGTTTGCCTCAATGTCAGGTCTGACTTCAAAACATCTCCTCATTCTCACTCGCGGTTCTTGGTATTTCATGGTTCTTCTCCAGGATCCAATCAAGAAGTGCATGCCAGCTACTGGCCCATGGACTTGGTCAACGACACAGATGCACCCATCGCCTGCCTCTACGGGCATGAGTCGATCCCTCACTCCTCGGGCTACGGCAACCGCAAGTGTCACCGGGACAGGAACGAAAACGGTGGGGAACGCGACCGGTGGAGGTGCTGACGCTATTAGGTTGGTAACGTTAGCTTCCTACGGGGCCCGGGGCGCTAAAATGGCATCGCGAAAGAACGTCACAGGCGGGCATTCCTACTAATGAGTGACCTTGGTGATTTGCGTGGAATTGGCCCTCGAACTGGCTGGGATACAACATGTATACCTACTAGACACTTAAAACATATTGAACATGTAGCTAGCTTTTATGCCTCATATATATTACATCATTATTTTTCCCCAACAGCGGAAGCTTGGGGTCTCAGCCAAACTAGGCACTGGGGCACTGTGGGGCAGTCATCCGGTGAGGTTCCCTGAGGTTCCGAGTGAAGGTTCCGAGGTTCCAAGTAAAGGTTTCCAGTCAAGGTTCCGAAGGTTCCGAGGTTCCAAACGAAGGTTCCGTGTCAAGTGTCCAAAAAGTTCCAAGTGAAGGTTCCAAGTAAAGGTTCCGAGTGAAGGTTCCGA